ATCGGCGGGTACGCGTATAAGACGTATAATAATACGAGACGAAATTTACATAATATTTCCGTCAATTTATATAAATATTGCGGCTTAATACAGGCAGTTTCAGTGTGTTTATACTTTGTTTATGCTTCTTGTGACATGTAGACTTTATATATTAATCAGATCACTACTTAATAACACTGTTTATACCTATTTAATATTTTAAACTACAAGAACACGACAATGTAGCATAGCCTTGTGTAATACGATCTCTACAACATGTACACAACAAGTAAAATGGATCATGTTGCCATTAATTGTGAATACTTATTTATGGCGCATGTTGCTGCTACGAATGAAACTCGAGGAGCAGTGAATTAAACGTGGAAATTCCCTTCCTGCTTAACAATCAATCAAATGTTTTAAACTGCATCACTATATTGCTGCATTTTTTTTTACCATCCATGTCAAAGGAAAAAATATGCGATTAATTAAATAACAATTTTTAAAACGTCAAGTCATCCTTGTCAATCTATTTCTCGATGAGAATTGGATATCTGTCTGACATTCGGCAAAAAAGCAATTTTTTAAGTTACATTTTTTCGTAAACAGAACACATATAAAATATATTAATTTGCTTAGCAACCCCCCCTCCCTCCGACCCCCCGTCAAAAGTACCCCCTCCGCCAGTCAAAAGTACCCCCCTCTCCCAATGTTCAGCAACGAAATTTTTGACTAACGTACGAAAAATCCTAGATCCGCCCCTGAATCGTATCTGTTACACGAGTGGCGATGTTTCTGATTTTTTAGGCTTGTTTCACACGTCACGCTATCCATGTGCCGAACGGTTTAAAATCAATAAATAATAAGATGAAATGTTTCTGGTAATTGTCTTTTCGTAGTGTAAGCTGTCAGTTTTACAAAACAGAAAGTCGTCCGCATGCTCAAAAAGAGCTCTTGCTATTCAACATTTAATAAACGAGTTACGAAGGGAGTGACAAGGATTTTTTATTATTTTGTTATGAATGTTGTCCTAATCCACATTTTTGAATGCCGTGCCAGCTCTTACTGCTCCAGGTAATTGTCGACGACACGGTGTCTTTTTCAATTTGAAACTTTACACTATTCTTGGATCCTATTTTAAACAATTGCTTATCACTCCTTTTGTAACTCGTTTATTAAATATTGGATTGCAAGAGCTTTTATTTGGGCATAACGACTTTCTGTTTTGTAAAGCTGATAGCTTGTACTACGAAATAAATATTTACCATCACCGACAATTTTTAATGACTTTCGTCCTATTCAAGCTATAAGTTTGGGGTCAGCACCGACATATTTTAAGTATTTGCGAGGCCTGGGTTTACTGTTCTTAACCAGACACAAATAAAAAAATGCTGTCAGATGTCTTTATTCTTTGCATATTACATTTACAATTATAAGAAAATATTTTTCAAATGAAAAATGAAAAAAAAAAGATTTTTGTATCTAACTAAATAGTAAACGCATTTTATTCAACAATTTTCAGTAAATATTTACTTTAACGTTTATCATTTGTCTTATTAATTTTGTTCATATACCTTACATTTATATGGAATTTAATTATATAGTCTTAAACAGTTCAAATTTGCATCAACACGAAACAGTACGTCAATTCTGTTATAGGGCGTTGCGGTGCACATGATACGAAATTAATCGATGAATATCGGTCGTCAAATAAGTAGGCTAAACGACCGTATACTAAAATTTATTTCCTAACGTAGCAAAAACTGATAATTTCTAGATTGTATACACAAAACTATGTTTTTTTATGAAATATTAAACAAGCTATAGCTATCCTAAAAATCACTCCAATGACTGCTTTCTCCGACTCTATATCTTCGATTCCTGTTGTAGTGATTGCAATTATCAGTCTAATTTTTGCCAAATGTGAGCCGACAATAATCTACAACAGCGGAGTATATTCATTTGGTGTTCATGTTACACAAAATACGAGTGTACAATGTTATGGTTTCACGACAATTTCAACAGAATATAAATTATAAAATATGCATTTCTAATGAACATTGGGTTTTTCAATTACTAGTCGAGTATGGATGGCGGCTACCAAAAAAATACTCCGTGAAGAAAGACATTGTAAAACTTGCAACATAGGTGCTGTCGAAAACAATATTAACTTTTCTTCGAATGTCCAAATCATAATAACATAAGAAACAATGCAAATAATATATTCATGCAATGATTCAGTGTTAGTAGACTATTTTCTTACTTTTTTCGAAATGTTTTAAAATCAGAGACAAATGGCTCTAAACCAGGGATACTTCATAAATAATATAATATATTGTTATATGGTTAGTGTCAAAGTTAAATTTTTCTGTTTGCCGATTGGTCAAAATCGTGTCACGTGGCGGTCCACAAAACGTCATGTTCGGCAATCGGTCCGCAATGAAACATTTATTGACCGGTCAATAATAAAATGGATGCAATACGCATGCGTGTCAACCATGAAGTTCAAAAGTTCATTTTTTAAACTTTTTACTAAACATTTACGGCGTTCCATTTATCCAGTTTTGATTTCAAATTAAGTTCACTCCAATAACCGGCTTACATACTATATAACAAAACACTTATTTACTGAGATCTCGGGAAAGCAATGTGTTTTGTGGCCACTCGACCAACAACGGCGGTCTCGGGTCCACAAAACACGCTGTTTCCCTCGGTCTCAGTAAATATGTGATAAATATAATATAATACCTTATTGAATTCTGATCGTTTAATTGGCTGTTTATGGTCACGTGATATTGAATAGAAAATTCCATTTCCCAAGAGTGCAATGGAATACGTTCCATTGCACTCTTGCGAGTGCAATTGTACTATACGTTTTATTCCATTGCACTCTTTGTGTTTTCGATAAATCGCATCCGTCAAAATGCTTCTCGTACGGTGATCGTAGTTTATTTTAATCCGATATTCGAAACTCAGTAAATGGGATTTAATGGAAATACGACTCGTCAAAATGGCGAAAGCTTACAGTAAACCTTTTAATATTAGTCTATTTTGGTATTATATAAAACAAATAATAAATATTTTATTCGTGCAATGGTAAGATTATTTTCATTCGGTGAAAGATGGAATATTCCATTCAACTCGGCTGTCGCCTCGTTGAATGGAACATTCCACCTTTCACCTCATAAAAATATTCTTACCATTGCACTCATAAACATTCATTATTTGTATAATATACTATATTATTATATGGCTTTTCAATATTCTCTATTCTGATTGGTTGACAAGCGGTCCGTAAAAACCCATATCTGGACCGTGGTCCGTATTTTCCGTATCTGCACTGGTGTCCCGGATGTCGTTTATCTGGCGGGAAATTTTTGCTTTGCAAACAGAAAAAATTTTTGCTTTTTAGTTTTCCAATTGTGTGTCATTAAAATTTACAGATAAAAATTTCAAACAATCAACTAATTGTTTTTGATTCAGCATGCATGCCTACCGTATATTGTTACCAAGCGAAACTGACAATAGCCGATTTAATTCGCGCGAAAAGCATATGCTCGCAGACTCAGTTGAGCCATATAATAAACCGACTATTGACCTCGCTTGTTCGGTCTGTACGGTGAAATATCAGGCCTCTGTTTTTTGCATGGACCTCGCTCCTTCGTCCCTCTGTCCATACTAAAAACCTTGGTCTGATATTTCACAGTATAGTATACAGACCTCACGCTCGCTCAATAAGCCATTAATATACTATAAAAAAATAATAAAATATAATAAAATATACTATAATAAAATATAATAAAATATACTATAATATACTGTACTATACTATAATATACCATATTAGATTTTCACAATATTTGATTTAATACGCCTGAAATGTTCATACATTTGAAAGAAGCACTGTCTGGCTTCTTCCTAGCTCTCTATAATGAATGTACCGTCTAATTAATATAATATCGGTACTTGCGCGTAACATAACATCAATTTATATATTTCGTAGATTCTTAAAGATTAACCCAATATTCACGTCTGAAATGTTTACACATTTGAAAACAGCATTGTTTTGTTCCTGCCTAGCATCATGAACTGATCTACGGCTTGATAGCGCATGCGCATTTGCGTTGCTAAAAAAATTTTGGTGTTCCAAATTTGGGTGTTTACATGAGTTCCTCGAAATTTTTGTGAACTTGAAGAATATTTAAATAAGACAACTGAAATAGCCAAAATAATCTTCAATGCACTAAGTACGATAGATTACTGCGAACGTAAATCGTATATACACCCCGGAAAGTTTACACTATGACTGACTTGTTTCAACTTTCGCCGCTGCTCACATTACTGTGAAATTTTGAAGAAACCTTACACAAAAACTAGTCAGGTCCTCTTAGAGAGAAGAGGGCAATGGCGGAAATTTGCTTCGAGCCCGCAGTTAAAGGGGACCTGCAAATTTGCAAAAAGGGGGCAACAAAAGGTGTGATAAAAAATATTTGGAACATTTTTTTATAAATAATGTTATAACAAAAATTTTAGACCTTAATTTTACTGTTTTGGTCCGAAAGAAATGTGTTTTACCCGTGTTTTTACAGGTATTTGTCCAGAACATTTTTTCGAATTTTAATTTAACTGATCTTTGTGCGGAAAAAATTTTAGACCAAATTTTTTGAAATGTCCGAAATTTCCCCCCCCCCCCCCCCGAATTTATCTGAGAAGCTCTGAAACCAGCAATAGAACAATAAAGACGCAAACATCAACCCAGGAAAATTATTATCCTACGCCTAAAATTTTAATCTTGTCGGCTAAAAACAACGGTATAATCGCATTAAAATCTACTATGTACAGATACTGAATCAACCATGTCCTATTTCTGTATACTTCAACCACGTTAACTTCTCGTATATGTGAGCTAAAGAAATTATATTTGGGGATAATGACTTGTCGCGGGAAACTTGTTTGTCCCAGAAGTAACACAATGTGATATGCAAATTAATAAAATCTTATTTTTATCTTCTGTTACATAGTTGACCATTGTGCACATAAACCATGTAACTCCAAGGAAAAATGCATTAGCGGAGATTCATACGAGTGCAAATGTCTCAATGGATATTTTGGACAAGAGAAAACATGTTCAGGTAAACATCAGATCATTACTGAAGCTTCTTATGCAGAGTCTTGATTTTTTATGTTCATGTATACATAGTTAATAGAAGAGATGGTTTTAATAGAAGAGATGGTTACTCATTAGAATAACAATATAAATAATTATCTAAGATAGTCAACGTTTATTCATAAATCTAGTCCTTCACCGTTACATGCGTATCGTATTTTTGCCCAACTAACTAATAGCAATGCTTTAGGAAATTTACCTATCCGTGACTCGAACAATAGGGTAAATTGGAAATTGCTATTGGTGGATTTGGCAAAAATACAATACACACGTGACGGTGAAGGAACATATTTATGAATAAACGTTGACTAACATGGATATTGAGTTATGTTGTTTCCAAACCATCTATTCTATTAACTATGATGTATATAGGTTTTATACTTCATTCAGACAATAGAATCGTCTCCATCAATTTGTATAGGTACTCGCATGGGGCCGAGTAGAATTAAGGTTTACGAGTAACTATGCGATTTCTTGTTAATCATAGGGCAAAATTTATTCGTAAGTAAATTGTGAACTTGTCAAGTTATTGAACCTCGTAAGCCTTCAAGTCTTCGCCAATATTCATTTATGCTGCCCATTTCTTAAATACTCTGACCCTTAAAATTTGTACTTTTCTAGTGTTCCTCGAGTTTTCACTAGACGTTTTTAATTCTTCAATAACATCATTGTCCGCAAAGGCAAAGCGAGAAGCCATAACTTGTATCGTTTTTTAAAACAAGAAACTTCCCGCGCTTGCGTCTCAGCCAATCAGATACACTAAATTTGACCTGAATTAAGAAAAAAATGCCCGCATCATTAGCCAATTATATTCGACTAATTTTGCCCTCTATATAATTAGTATAGCTAATAGCATGTTTTCGAATGCAATTTGGATATAACATGCACGAGTGAGTTATTCAAAGACGTCAAAATAGCACGAGTCTGAAGGACGAGTGCTATTTGAGATCTTTGAAAAACTCACGAGTGAAGTGTATCCAAATTTCACGAGAAACCATGTTTATTGCCAATTAATTTATAACGAACCGTCCACTGGCAAAGTTTTCCTGGTTTTGTTATATCACATTATACAACGCTAACAGCTTGAAAATTCCGCTCAACTATTAAAGTTTTTTTGTGCTGTTTAAAGTAAATGATTTTCCATTTAAAAAAAGATAAAAGCCATATTTTCTGTACCAAAGCCGGTCAACATTTACTTTATGCATCGCGGCGCCTTGTTTGTTTTGTTTTGAAATCAATCTGTGACCGTTACTTCTTTAAATTTGATTGCTTTAAACTGTTTGGTTGACTTTATCATCACATTGTTTTTCCACCAATCAGATTAGCTTGTGAAAGATTTTTGCACTGTGATTACAGAAAATTGCGCAATGCTGTTTTCGATTAACTGCACTAATATCAACCAATCACAGTCGAGTAGTATTTTGTGTATATTATTATATGTAAAATATCATGATCATGTAATCATTAATACTAACGCAAAATTTCGTGCAAACGTTTGTAACCCCAATTAAGCCGTGACAGAACTGCCGCGATTCTAAACCCAGGGCCGCCGAGAGCATTCGCGGGGCCCGGGGCAAATCTTCCTTGGGGAAGACATGACATCATTATTTTTAAGCCAGACTCGACTAGACCTCAGCGAGGCTGCATGTGGAGGTACTGTAAGGGACCCTCAATTTCAAAAATTCTCCGATCATGATCAATTTAAAGAACCTACTTCATTTTAGGCTCTCACTCTCGAGTTGGGGTCATATTAAGGTGGGGCCCCGGGGCAATTTGGCCCCTCCCCTGCCCCTCTCTCGGCGGCTCTGTCTATACTTCAACAGGCAGTATTGATATACCCGTATCGAATTTGTGTGGTGCACGCAGCAATTAAAATGTATCTATATACCAATAATTTTTATATTAAGAAACTTTTTAAACAACTAAATTCTCAGTCTAGCTTCATTCTCAAAAACTATAAAAAATCACGAAGTTCTAGACGATAAATGCTTCAGCAATTTGTCTGAACAAAGTAATTCATTATTGTTACCGAGCCGACGGCGCGAAGCGCCGTACGAGGGTACTAATTCCCCCCTGCTATTTACACCCGGTGAAACGAAAGCATTAGGGAAGTCTAAAGTTCAGCAAATAACGCGGTCGCATGGCTAACCGTTGATCGTTCATGGGTGGTCATCCTCACTGATCTCAGAAATATGGCGGACTGTCATGAATAGCGGACACTGATTGGTCCAGTTTAAAGTTTGCATTATAACGACCGCATGACGACCGCAAAATAGCAAATATTTCTTGATTTGATGATTGATGAATTTTTTGCTCGCATTTTTGCAAGATTTAGTAAATTTCAAAAGTTTTATCATAAAGAAAGGGCGAAAGAATCGGTTAAAAGAGGGGAGCTGACGTTAACGAAGGTAAATTTGTTTTAAATATTGATTTTATAATGGATTTAAAACCCGACGGCCTTTGCGTGTATGAAACAACTAAACAAGACAGCATATAATTTCAGTATATCTTTAATATTGACTCCCTTTTTTATTATATTGAAGTTTTTAAATAAAAAAGAAAGCAAAGTTATCTGTAAGCGTGTATTTGAAATCATTTTATTGCGAACTCAAAGTTTATCGATAAAGCCAGTTTAGTGTATTAAAAGCAGTTTAGTGTATTAAAGAACATTTTAATTAAAACATTTTGCGGAGTGTTTGTGGTTGAATTTTACCTTAAAATTGAAGGTAAAAACATTAAATTGAAGGTTAATTAAATTCAGTAGCGTAGCCAGCCCAACGATTTAGTCCCGCTATGCAAATATTTTCGTGTTCATTGACTGTGAAAACAATCAATTTCTAAAGAAATGAATAATGATAATAATTTTGAATTTGCATAGCGGGACGAAATTGTCGGGCTGGCTACGCCACTGATTAAATTGAAAGTTATATTACGTACAATAACATATCTAACATATATATGTTGGGAAATTGATAATTTTGTAATTAAAGGTGATATTTTTGGGCGATTTGTAAGAATATTCTTTAAAAATTATTGTTTTACCATGAGAACTACTCTAGATATTCCATGTTCGGAAAATACAATGGTTTTGACAGCAAGGCGAGGGTTTCTGCATGCATGTATTTTCTAGTATTTATTTAAATCATCGTCTTGTAACTGTTTTTGCCTACGAAATTTTGCGCCAATGAAATAAGTAATAAGAATATAAGACATAAGGTTGTTACAAAAATTATTTGTTGGTCTTCTATTTCGAAATACATTTTCAAGTAAAAATTGGAAAAACGACACTTGATCATGCATATATCATAATATTTTTCCAACGAAAAGTGGCTAAACAATTTCACACTCATATTTTGAAAATTACATATAGATATACTAGAAAACGAGCCACTGACTTCTCGACAGAATTTGAGTGAATGGTTGCCACAAGAAAGTCGAGGAAACTGGAGTGTTTGCTGGCGAGCAACAAGAGACGGCTGGGATGTAAAAAATTTCCATTCCAGATGCGACAAGAAAAAACCGACTTTGACATTAGTAAAAGTTGGTGTTTCCATATTCGGCGGGTATGCCACCGAATCATGGGATGGTAAGGGTAAGTTGGAAATTATCATAGCATGCATAAATCATTACTATAAGGTGAATAACTGTTACTTTTCTAACCGAAAAAAATACCAGAGTGGAATCTGCATGTCTTTTGCTCATGTATATACAGTTCATGTATATACATCTTGAAAAAGAGCCACTCGACATACTAAGTATAAATGAAAGTAGATTAGACGAAACGATAAGTTCGGAAATTGTTGGCATACCTGGCTATGATATGATTGCAAATAGTCGTAACCGGGAGGGCGGCGGTGTTGCTGTTTACTACCGCAGTATTTTGAATGTTATAAATGGAGAAGATTTGATCCCGGATAATATCGAGGCAATATCCCTTGAAGTTATTAAGACAAAATCCAAGCCTAGCTTAAGTACATCTGTTTATAGGCCACCAAGTTCGCGAATTGAGTACTTTGAGAAAATCGAAACCTTATTTCAAAATCTTGATAGTGAACATAAGGAATTGATCATTATTGGCGATTTTAATTGCGACCTTTTGAAGAATAATTTAAGCAATCATACCAAAAGACTCAATGAAATAATTAATCTATTTCAAATGACGCAGGTCATTGAACACCCAACACGAATTACTGATAGCACTGCAACTCTTCTGGATGTAGCGATTGTAAAGTCACCCCGAAAATATTTTGCAGTCGGGCGTTTTACATGTTGGCATTAGTGATCACAGTCTGATCTATATCTGTAGAAAAATTTCCTTTAGCCTTAATTTTAATCATAATAAAGTTATCGAGTCAAGGGATTATAAGAGTTACCTGCAACAAAATTTTAATAACCAAGATCTGTATGATGCGTTGTCATTGGTAGATTGGGAAACTGATGAGCCAAATATACTATGGGACAACTTTAAGACAACTTTCAATTATGTTGCTGATATTCATGCACCGAGAAAAGTTCGCAAAATTAGAATCCGAAAATCGCCTTGGCTAACGGACGCAATTAAGGGGGCACATGGAATTATTTGAAAAAATCGATTTTTATTTTTTGAGCTAAATAGTTACTGTGGCATGTAATTGATGTTGTGAAAGTATTTATTTGCTTGAATTTAAAAAATTGTTCTGTCAGGAGCTGTTTTTAACCACCTCACTATAATTTTCAGCTTGGTTGCCAAGGTAACGAAAGGCAGAATCCTTCATATTTTTCATGTTTTTACCTATATACTGCTGTCCCTCCCCTCCCTAATATAAAATAATGATACAGGCTCATCTCTTGATGATTTTGCAGCGGATTTACGTGGCGATTATGCGCATAGATGCGTTTTTGAGAACTAGTGATTCAAACAGAACAAACTCGAAAATGTGTTTCAATATTTAATAAATATTGATCACTTTTGTGTATATATTTCTTAACATATGGTTAAAAATAACTAATAATGGTTCACAGAAAACATTAAAACGAAACTTTATTCACTGGGGTGAAGAAATACGTTATAAAGACGACGATAAAACGTGAACACATTCAGGCAATAATCGGGCATTATTTCAATGGGCATTCAATGCCAAATATCAACAGTCATCTTCGATTTGGATTCTTGGGCATCTTATAAACAGATCTTCAAACGTTTGTTCTGATGAACTTAAAAGTCGTAGATGTAAGTATTTTTCTATCATTGAATGATTGATTCTAGTATACAATAACTCAAAAATGTTAATTAATAATATAATTAGTAATTATTCCAAATTTGCGATATTATGATATCAAGAGATTAATTTTCTCTACCCAATTTTGGTACAGATATCAATACATTATTTCTTGCCTCATTGTTATAATTTTACTATTTTAAGAGAGCTTGCCTGTAAGAATCACAGAATGTGTGGCAGATATGAAAAACTGAAATTCTTCAATTTCCCTCGATTTTATATATATTGTACACCTATCCAATCCCACACATATACTGAAGATTCAGCCATCAAACAAAAAATGAAGAAAAGTTAGCGCACTTCAAAAATCGAACCAAAAATGACGCGAAATGTCCAAGAAATTACGCTATATAAAGCAGTCAACATCATGTGCCGTGCTTAGCGCGCATTATAAGTTTTTGCTCTGCTGTTACAATATATATCTTTAGAATATATGGAACTTTCTCGTGATATTTTTTCTCCATAAATCGAAACTTATTGACTTGGTTATTTTAGATCAAAGATGGTTGAAATTTCCTGGTTTTCCAAACTAGCCAAAGTACGTCTTGTGAAACGCCTGTTTAAATATGGTCCTACTTTCTTTATCAATATACATATGCATAATTTGTTAGGGCTATGATTTAGTCATTCGACGACGATTTCAGATGTTTGGGATTCTTTTGTGTCTTGGCGAAATTTGCAGTTAAAAATGTACAATATTAGCGTAATGGGCAATTCCAGCTATAGACTAAATTTTGATTTGGGCAAGAAAAACAAAATCCATCAGCACAGCTAGAAAGAGCATGTTAAAATTAGTAAAATTACAAAGTTTCGGTGCAAAATGTTGTAAAATGAGGGAAATATAGCCCTGCGAAATTTGCAAATTTTGTATTAATTTGTCCGCAATAGCTAGACCATTATTTTGCGTAATAGACTAAATTTTGATCTAAACAAGTCTAGGGAAAAGTTTCATCCCAGCTTGAAAGAGCATCACAAAATTAGTGATATTCGACAGTTTCGTTGCGAAATGTTGTAAAATGCGGAAAATATAGCCTTGCGAAGTTTGCAATTTTCAGTTATTTTAGTTACAAACGGGAAATTGACAGCCTCGAAGGCCGTTTGGGGCTGTCAATTTCCCGTTTGTAATCTAAAATGACTGAAAATTGCAAACTTCACAAGGCTATATTTTCCGCATTTTACAACATTTTGCAACGAAACTTTGTAATATTACTAATTTTGTGATGCTCTTTAAAGCTGTGATGAAATTTTTGTTGAGATCAAAATTTAGTCTAATGCGCAAGTGGTCAATTGCACCACTTTCGGCCCAAATGTGGTATACAAAATTTGCAAATTTCGTATTGCTATTATTTTCCTCATTTTGCAATATTTCGCGGCCAAACTTTGCAATTTTACTAATTTTAACATGCTCTTTCTAGATGGATTTTGTTCTTCTTGCCTAGATCAAAATTTAGTCTATATGATCTATAGCTGGAATTGCTCATTGAGTGGTTCTTATTAACTGGAGCGTGACATGCACTGTGAATATTATTTCTTAATTTTTTTTTCAAAACGATTCTGTGTTTACTGTAGTCGTCACTGAGAACTCACGCTTCACTCTTGAATATCGGTCATCCGTTTTTAAATTAACTCAAATTTACACTATGAATGCAGATATGCAGATACTATACAAATACAAATAAAAACGTTGTCGTTGAATGGAAAATCAGCTGAAAAAGGTTAGAATGCAGGATGGTAAGCGTAATCGTTTCTAGAGTGCCTGCGACAAATTATGTCGTGGTTTAGCACGTAAAGAAAAAACAGTTCCAAGATTGTTTACAAGATAAAATAATATTATTATTAATCAAATATTATTTGATTTGTAACCTACGCTGTTATAAACCCGGAACTGTAACTTTCTCAACAAAGTTGTAAATAAACTCACGCAGCGAGACTAATTGTCCACTGTGGTTTGATATTGCAACTGAAACTGTCTGATTATGTTACATTGGTTTGTTACAGTTCTTGCAGCATAAAGGTAAGTCCATTGTATTTTTCGTATTTCCTTAGCTTTATCTCAAAGTTTTAATTTAAATTACACGGAAATATTTAACTAAGAGTCTAAGTGTTTTCCCAATCACCAAATGTAATGTAACTTCCACCGACAAAAATATTAATGGGAAGAATTGTTTCTGCTCTTCCATCATATTTGAACTAAGTTCATATTTTGTCGACAGTAGGGACAGCTCATTATTGCAGGTATTGCAGGAATCACTTGAAACTGAACTGAACCATTTAGTACAGACATAAAAATAGGCAGTCGCGAGACTGCACGTGCTGCTGTTGTTTACAAACAGTATAACAATGCGCGGAAAGTATTACATGTAACCAGACACAGTTCTACAGGGTGTATAAAAAAAGCGCAACCTTGGAATTTCCCAAGAAATCGACATTGTTTTACAGACAAAAGATTTTAGGCGCCTGGGAATTTAAAATAGCATAACTGTCAAAATTACTGCACACGCGAGTGCATAAAGCAAAATTTATGCATTTATTTAATGCACAACAACAGTAATATGATCTATTAGCAATTCGATTTCAATTCCCAGGGGCCTAAAATCTTTTATGCTTAAGAATTGCAAAGTGATTTCTTAGGAAATTCCGAGGTTGCGTTTTTTTTTATACACCCTGTATAATGCGGTGCCCTAGTGTGTCTTCTAGGGACAAACCAAAAACAAAGTCAAAACCGTCGACACTAAAGTGCATGACAGAATAAATAGTTGGATATTGACAACAGTTTGTCCTGAAGCGGGATTTCAAGCCCTCCCCCTATAGGCAGACCCCCCCCCCCCACCCCCATTGTTGAAACCCGTCGGAAAATTGGAAATTTGTTATGTTGTCGAGTCGTCGAATTTGTCGGAATCGATACGTAAGAAAAGTTATTTCAAAGTATGTGTAATAAAATGCAAGTCGTACATGAATGTATCGATAGGAAATGTAAACAATTAAATACGCAGCGTCAGGGGCGATAAAAAATAATTATTACCTTAGAGATTACATGAAGTAAATATGCTTGTGATTCCGCATAAACGTAGAAACTCACAGACAGAATCAGTAAAGCCGGTGTCAAACTTGGACGGGCACCGCAATTTAATCCATGTAACCTTGGGGCTGCGGCTATGTTTTTTACGTTCGGAAAAAGTTAAAATGCATGCTTGGTCGTGCATGCGTACGTGCGTGCGCGCAGTATGTATATACACATATACTGTAGACAAAGTAACTTGAATGCAAAGAAAATCATTAAGAAGTAAACTGTGCGTTCTCAGTGTCATTTACAGTGAAGCATGTTTACTTTTTGAGTAGAACAAGCGTAAGATATTGGAATCGTAACGCACCGGTTAATAAAATCCAAGCACGCAATTACGCTAATATTGTACATGTTTAACGTCGAATGGCTACATCCTAGCCCTAACGAATTATGCATATGTACATTTACAAAGAAAGTAGGACCATGTTTAAATAGGCAATCTCCAAGAGGTACTTTGGCTAGTTTGGAGAACCAGGAAATTTCAACCATCTTTGATCTAAAATAACCAAGTCAATATAACATTTCGATTTATGGAGAAAAAATATCACGAGAAAGTTCCATATATTCTAATAACATAGATTGGGACAGCAGACCGAAACTTATAATGCGCGCTCAGCACAGCACATGATGTTTACTGCTTTATTTAGCGACATTTCTTGGACATTTCGCGTCATTTTTGGTTCGATTTTTGAAGTACTCTAACTTTTCTTCATTTTGTGTTTCAAGGCTGAAACTTCAGTAAATATGTGGGGTTGAATAGATCTTCAATATATAAAATCGAGGGAAATTGAAGAACTTTCAGTTTTTCATATTTGCCAGAAAATGGTAAATTATTGCGATTTTTACAGACAAGCTCTCTTTTAAGATAATGATGCCTATACTACTTCCTGATAAAATTTCTTAAAATTCCAAGCAATTTATAAGCAGATATCTTTTCTCAAATGCACCCTAGTTTTGTACAGCATGTGGTATGATTGCCGGCATGGTGTCAGGTTACAAAAGACGTTAGGTACTAGTGATTAGTATTTGCAGTTTCTATAGGTTATAAGCTTTCTACTGATATATAGTTTGTCATAACTCTGGTGAATATCTTTAAAATTACAGCGATTTCAAAAATGACCATCAACCATGTGTACTCCCCCCTCCCCCTTAAGAAAAATATAAACTATAGAGATTTCCTAAAAAAAAAGCAATTAAAACAAATTCAGCTACGTTTCATAATGCATATCGAAGTCTCCGTAACAATATTAACAAACAAATTATCCATGCGAAGCGGAACTATTATACAAATTGTATTGAAAGAAATAAGAATAATAGCAAACAAATGTGGAAGAATATTAATCATCAGATTAACAAAAGATCAAAGTCGTCAAACATTCCAGCACTTGAAATTAACGAGCAAGTGTTTGTAGAAGATTCCAATATAGCAAATTTATTCAATGATTATTTCGCTGACATTGGATCGACTTTGTCAAGTCAGATTGCTGAATCCAGTATGAGTTTTGAAAGATATATGAAATTTACAGCTCAAAACCAGTTTATTTTTAAAAGCATCCAAGTTCAAGATGTAGTTAATGAAATTGGTAAAATAAATGTGTCGAAATCAATAGGACCAGATAATATTCCGGCCAAACTTTTAAGAGATTCAAAAGACGTAGTGGCCCCCTTTTTGGCACTTATTTTCAATACTTCTTTAAATAATTGCATTTTCTCAGACGATCTTAAAACGGCAAGGATTTCTAAAATATATAAGTCTGGAAATAAGAAAGTGCGTTATTGCAAAATTATTTGAGAAACTTATCAAGGCCATCCACCACATCTGCTCTTTTAGAAAATACTGATTCGTGGCTACCGAATATGGATACTGGTAGGATAAACGGGGTGCTTTTTCTTGATTTATGCAAAGCATTCGACACAGTCGATCATGCCATCCTCATAAAAAAGTGATCTAATTACGGGATACAAGACAAGGCACTAGAATGGTTTAAATCATATTTGTTTAACAGGGAACAATACTGTAAGATAAATAGAGCAACATCTTCCCCTCGGAAGTTAAATTGCGGGGTTCCACAGGGGTCAAACCTTGGCCTCTTTTATTTTTTTATATATGTCATTGATCTTCCAAACTGTTTGGAAAATTCACATGCCGCAATGTATGCTGATGACACAAATATAACTGTTGGTTCAGATGGTCTTAATAATTTTGAAAAAACCCTCAATCATGAAATGAGCAATATTCATCAATGGCTCGTCTCAAACAAATTAACATTAAACGTAAAAAAACAGAGTATATGGTCATTGGAACTCACAAAAGATTGACTAGATTTTCGCAAGACATCACAGTGTCCATTGATGGCAAAGTAATTAAACAAATAAACTCAAAGAAAATTTTGGGCGTTATAATTGATGAAAATTTATGCTGGGACAAGCAAATTGAGAACATCAGTAAAAAAGTTTCAAAAGGCATTGGTATGTTACGCCGAATTAAACCATTTGTTTCAATTGGAACTCTTACCTATCTCTATGAAGCTTTGGTTCAACCACATTTTGATTACTGTTCAATGGTTTGGGGTAACTGTGTCAAAACCTTAAAAGGGATGTTACAGAGACTCCAAAACCGAGCGGCAAGGGTTATTTCAGGCGACTCATATGAAGTACGCTCCCTTGAAATTTTGAGTAAACTGAACTGGAAAACGCTAGAAGAAAGGCGAAATGAGCAGCAATTAGAATTTGTATCTAAGGCTCTTGCATGCCAATGCCCTGAAAACATTTCGAACATGTTTATAATGTCCAATTCTGAACGATACGACTTAAGAAGCAACAATAGCAAGCTTGTACTACCGAAACCAAAAATGAATTCTTTGAAAAAAACATTCAGATATGCTGCTGCTAAATTCTGGAACCAAAGTGTCAGTTAACTTAATAGTAACTGTATTTTTTACACTTTTTGGGAGGGCTTCACTGGGTGGGGGAGGAGGGGTAGTCAGTTAAATAAATAGTAACTGTATCTTTTACACTTTTTGGGAGGGGTTCACTGGGGGAAGAAGGGGCGTTGTAGTTTGTGTTCATCACGGCCAAATGAAAAGCAACCTTTCGATTTGTAAATATTTTAGTACTGGTTGATTAGTCACCGTGTTTAAAGATGTTTTTAATAATAATAATAATAATAATAAATTCTGTTTGTGTTCATGTGAGAACGAGTCAGTCCGCGGGTAGAAAAGTAGGTGAGATCTAAACTTGCGTTATAAGTGGGATCTCACTCAAGTGGAATAAAATTTTCAATGTCAATATTTTATACCATGCAGCTGATCACGCCTGACCGGGACAGATATTTTATTTGTATTTGAATTGTAAGATAGTATTGTAAAATAGTAAAATTTGGTAAAGTGCTAACAGAAAATAAACATTAATAAACGTGAACAGATACTGTTAAAATCATGCCAGAAGGTGCACTTTGCTTAATTAATTAAAACAAAAAATATTTTGAAGACGTCATGATTACATAATATCGTCCCACCGAGACGGGATATTGGGTGTGTGAAAAACAGTGTTAATAAACACAAAGTAATTTCTCGCACTCAGGTGTTTGAGCTTCACGGAAAGTTGAGCTCATATATTTTATTTAATTTAATTCAGCAGTTTATTTGGCACGCATAAAAATAGCCACACATTATTGTACGTAACTAGAAATACTAACAGAAGAATAACAATATGTAATAGCATGCCAAAAATGGAGAAATAGAAACAAAACCAGGTCTCAACATGCATGGGCGTCAATCCTGGGGGGGGGGGGATGGGAACGCGTCCCTTCAGTTTTTGGAGAGGGCGGATTAATATCTAATTATTCCCCCCCCCCCAACAGGTAGGAAATTTGTCATCGCTGACCAAAAAATCGTGGGCAGAGACAAAGCTCATTGCATTTATATTCAAAACAAAGCAGAAAGTTAGCAAGAAGCTGCTTTAGCTGACATTTTTTGCTTTCCATTCAACGATTTACAAAGTAACGGTTATTCTTTTAAAAGTCGACCATGAATTCTTTGTCTTGGGATGATTTGTTTTGTAATCGAGTAATTGGAAGAAGTTAATATGGCGACGTGAACATGGGAGTAAATACCGTATATGTCGATCTGTGGCTTGTTTAAAACCGCAATAAACTAAGAAAGACGTGATATAAGAATGAAATGTAAGTTGAAATTAACTTTATATGCTTCAAATTTTTCAACCTATGTTTCTTAATGTGACTTCAGCTGGCTAAGTTCAAAATACAAGCTCGCGAAATTTGACAAATTTTGAAAATATGTAAAAATAGCTTGACTTTGAACTGTATTTTCTCAAAAATAGCCCGACGCCTCAATTTCAAATATAGCTAAATGAAAAGAAAAAACTTTTCGGCGTTTGTAGGTATCAAACATATCGTCAGGAAAATAGGAGCTCACAATGTTTTAGCTGAGTCTTTGAGACCCAGTTGCTTCGCACGTGTTGTGGTCAAATTTTTGCCAAGAATCAAAGGCCGAAATGTGAACTTCCTTCATGAAAACCGACTCAAGAAAGGTCTAGTTTCAAAATGTGGCTATTAATTTCGATTTCATGAGCATATTTTTGTTACACGTTAAATATTTTTGTACTTGATGAGATTCAAAAGTTGTTGTATATTTGTTATGTTTCTATGCAACTTTTATTACGTCTTTACTAGCATGCTACTATGTGAATATAACAAATAATAATACTAGGTGTCCAAATACTTATATACAAAGTTATGTGACACATGTCACATGATTAATTACGTAACATCCTTTCTCTTATAAAAGAATTAGATCATGAATATACTAAAACTACCTATGTTATAAATGTGGATCTACTTGGAGATGTTGTTCTCCTTCTAGCGTACCCACTTCTCCTTCGAACACGTTTGCAAATTCTTCAATTATTCGGTTCATCACTGTCGTTGTTGACTGTGTACTTGTTGTGTCTTTGATTCCTGAATTTACCTGGGCTACTTGTTCAAAGTTCTCATTATGTGTTTCGACAATTCCCATGCGTTGAATCGCTTTAGCCCCGAGTAATGGTGTCAAATTCTCTTGAACTGCCATAAATTCTACGGAATATTTCTTATCATTTTTCGGATTTCTTATTGTAAGACGGCAAGTTCCCTTTGGCTTTAATTCTGGTTTGTTCCACATCTGTAGAGTTCTATCTGTCGGTTCGATGTTTTCACCCGCTAAGTACTTCATAGGTAACACGTTTACCGTTGCCCCGCAATCGACATGGAATTTAATTGGGTTGCCTCTCACGATCATTTTAGCATATACTTCTTTCGATGGTTGTTGACTAATCGAGCTTATCTTATCTGGTTTCACAGTCACGCTATCGATGTACTCGGAGTCGGAGCTCGAGTCTGCTTCTTTCACTTGGTTCGTATTGTCTCTCCTGCGTTGTCTGCATTGCTTTGCGAAATGATTCCGCTTTCCACACGAATTACACGTCTCACTCCACGCTGGACACAATTCTCGTCCAAACTTGTGCTTTCTACCACAATATCCACACGCTTTGTATTGTGTTGAGTCTTGTTTGAATTTGCCATAGTTTGCCTTGTTCCGTGCTCCGCCCCCCTTTGTTCTCGATTTGGTTGACTGAACTTTGTTTAATTCGTCTAATTTGTTCTGTTCGCCCATCTGTCTAATCTGCGAATTAGTCGCTTCAAAACATCGGCATATTTCAATGCTTTCTTGTAGATTCAATTTCGAATGTTGTAGCAGTCGTTTCCGTGTACTAGCATCGGCTACCCCCAGCACAATTCTATCGCGAATAAGCGAATCGTGCAGGCAAACACAGAAACCATATGTTTGTGCCAATGTTCTTAGTTTAGCGACGTACTCATCAATAGTTTCCCCGTCTAGTTGGGCACGGCTGTTGAAATTGTATCTTTTATACGTTTCATTAACTTGGCCAATCGCATACTTTTCAAACTCGTCAATAATCTTTACCAACTTGCATGCGTTTGTCCTCGGGCGCTAGATCGAAGCTAGACTTTCGCGGCTTCTTGTCCTATGCAGTATAGGAATAATGCGACTCGATATTCTTCTGGTTGTTTGTCTAGCTGTGTCACAATTATGTAGTTCTCCCAGCGTTGTTTATATGCCTTCCAATTCTCAGTTTTATTTCTTGATTTCAGATCCAAACCCGTTGGCGGTTGAATCCCATGTATGATTGGAGCGTTTGTCGCTTGTTCGACTGCCATCTAGCTTTGTCTTATTCCTTAGATCTCCTTATATCTTTCTATCCCACCGCTGCCACCATGTTATGTTTCCATGCAACTTTTATTACGTCTTTACTAGCCTGCTACTATGTGAATATAACAAATAATAATACTAGGTGTCCAAATACTTATATACAAAGTCATGTGACACATGCCACATGATTAATTACGTAACATCCTTTCTCTTATAAAAGAATTAGATCATGAATATACTAAAACTACCTATGTTATAAATGTAAAACTGTTGTTCTTTTCTTCTTCTTTTTTTTAAATTAGAGCACTAATTAAGTAAGTTCATAAATGTTAAAGTTAATGAATAGGATCATAATAATCGTTCACTGTTTATTCATTTCATGGTGTAGTCGTCTTCTTAATATCTACTCTATTTTGTCGGAAATTCCCCCTATCAGTTTCTACCTCGTACGATCCCATGATATCTGTCCAAGTCTAAATGGCCGCATTCGCACAGTATCTCCCTCTTCAAGAGGCAACAGATTTTTAGCACCTACGTTGTAGTAATCCGCTTGTTTGTCGTTTCGTTTTTTTCTCTGTTTCATAATCTTTGTATTTGGAATACTCTCCGGCCTGAGTAATTCAGTAGTGGCCGGCAGGAGGGTTTTGCATCGTCTAGCGAGTAGCCTCTGGTCTGGGCTGGACTCCATTTATTCTTCTTCTTAATCATGTGACATGTGTCACATGACTTTGTATATAAGTATTTGGACCCCTAGTATTATTATTTGTTATATTCACATAGTAGCTTGCTAGTAAAGACGTAATAAAAGTTGCATAGAAACATAACATGGTGGCAGCGGTGGGATAGAAAGATATAAGGAGATCTAAGGAATAAGACTAAGCTAGATGGCAGTCGAACAAGCGACAAACGCTCCAATCATACATGGGATTCAACCGCCAACGGGTTTGGATCTGAAATCAAGAAATAAAGCCGAGAATTGGGAGGCATATAAACAACGCTGGGAGAACTACATAATTGTGACACAGCTAGACAAACAACCAGAAGAATATCGAGTTGCATTATTCCTATACTGCATAGGACAAGAAGCCGTGAAAGTCTATAATAGTTTCGATCTAGCACCCGAGGACAAACGCAAGTTGGTAAAGATTATTGACGAGTTTGACAAGTATGCGATTGGCCAAGTTAATGAAACGTATGAAAGATACAATTTCAATAGCCGTGCCCAACAAGACGGGAAAATTATTGATGAGTACGTCGCTAAACTAAGAACATTGGCACAAACATGTGGTTTCTGTGTTTGCCTGCACGATTCACTTATTCGCGATAGAATTGTGCTGGGGGTAGCCGATGCTAGTACACGGAAACGACTGCTACAACATTCGAAGTTTTGAAGCGACTAATTCGCAGATTAGACAGATGGGCGAACAGAATAAATTAGACGAAGTAAACAAAGTTCAATCAACCAAATCGAGAACAAAGGGGGGTGGAGCACGGAACAAAGCAAACTATGGCAAATTCAAACAAGACTCAACACAAAACAAAGCGTGTGGATATTGTGGTAGAAAGCACAAGTTTGGACGAGAATCGTGTCCATCGTGGGGTGAGACGTGTAATTCGTGCGGAAAGCAGAATCATTTCGCAAAGCAATGCAGACAACGCAGGAGAGACAATACGAACCAAGTGAAAGAAGCAGACTCGAGCTCCGACTCCGAGTACATCGATAGCGTGACTGTGAAACCAGATAAGATAAGCTCGATTAGTCAACAACCATCGAAAGAAGTATACGCTAAAATGATCGTGAGAGGCAACCCGGTTAAATTCCATGTCGATTGCGGGGCAACGGCAAACGTGTTACCTATAAAGTACTTAGCGGGTGAAAACATCGAACCGACAGATAAAACTCTACAGATGTGGAACAAGACAGAATTAAAGCCAAAGGGAACTTGCCGTCTTACAATAAGAAATCCGAAAAATGATAAGAAATATTCCGTAGAATTTATGGCAGTTCAAGAGAATTTGACACCATTACTCGGGGCTAAAGCGATTCAACGCATGGGAATTGTCGAAACACATAATGAGAACTTTGAACAAGTAGCCCAGGTAAATTCAGGAATCAAAGACACAACAAGTACACAGTCAACAACGACAGTGATGAACCGAATAATTGAAGAATTTGCAAACGTGTTCGAAGGAGAAGTGGGTACGCTAGAAGGAGAACAACATCTCGAAGTAGATCCAACGGTACAACCGACGACAGCGCCATCAAGACGAGTGCCATTTGCCGTAAAAGCAAAGGTGAAAGACGAGTTAATGCGACTAACGAATCTTGAGGTTATACAGCCAGTTGATGAACTCACAGTCTGGGTCAGCAATATGGTCGTGGCAACAAAACCATCTGGTGAACTACGCATCTGCATCGATCCCAAACAGCTGAATAAGGCCCTCAAACGTGAGAGGTATCCCATACCAGTCATTGAAGATGTGATGCCAGATATAGCCAAAGCCAAAGTTTTTACAAAGGAAGAACGCGCGGAATGGCTATTGGCACGTCATGTTGGACGAAGAGTCCAGTAGGGTGACGACATTCGACACGCCGTTGGGGAGATATCGTTGGAAACGGTTACCGTTCGGGATCAGCGTTGCATCAGAGATCTTTCAGAAAAGAATCCACCAAGCAAATTAACGAACTTTCTCACAACATGTAGGGAAAAGGGGGTGAAGCTCAACAGAAGAAAGTTGGAGTTATGTTGTACAGAGATGCCATTTATGGGTCATCTCGTAACCTCTGAAGGGTTGAAAGCAGATCCAGATAAAATCGACGCTATAGTCAACATGCCCAAACCTACAGACGTAAAGGATGTACGGAGATTATGTGGATTTATCAATTATCTGGCAAAGTTCATGCCACATTTATCCGATGTGATGGAGCCACTACGACAGCTTACACATAAAGAAGCAGAATGGAAATGGATGCATGAGCACAACGCTGCCTTTGAAAAGATCAAACGTATGGTGGTTGCAACACCGGAACTGAAGTACTACATCCCTGACGAAGAGTTAACCATCCAATGTGATGCCAGCGATAAGGGATTGGGAGCTGCCCTTCTACAGCAAGGGCAGCCTGTTGCCTTCGCAAGCCGTGCCCTGACAGATGCCGAAACAAGATACGCTCAGATTGAGAAAGAGATGTTGTCGGTGGTGTTTGCTCTTCACAAATTTGACCAATACGCGTGTGGACGACGGGTAACAATCGAGAATGACAACAAGCCACTGGAAGCCATAGCTCGAAAACCGCTTCACGATGCACCCAAACGGATTCAAGGGATGTTGCTGAACATACAGAAATATGACACCGTGATTTCCTACAAACCTGGACCTCAGATGTATCTGGCAGATACTTTGAGCAGAGCCTTTTTGACCAGCAGCGCCAACACACGAGGAGAATTTGAAAGAATCAACGCACTCAAAGCCATTTCACTTTCCAAAGAGAGACAAGAACAGATCAAAAGAGATACAGAGCGCGATGATGTTCTCCAACGATTAAATGAAGTCATAGATTGATGTCCAATACCCACGATCGGAGTCCGATGGAGAAATCCATCATACATGTGCTACCGATTGATCCGATGGACAAACATGTCTACCGTCGGAGAAAAGTTTGTCCGATGGAGAAATACACGTAGACAAGTAGAGCATAACGTGATATTAATTCATAACATAAATATAAGAACTATTGGAACAGTCAGGCATGACAAATAAGTCGGACCGTTATACTTTTCCAATGTTTTTTTCTCTAAGTGTCCATGTTTTTAAACGATACGATGTTTGTAGCAAATGTCAGATGGTCCGATCGATCGATCGGATCCATAGGACAAGCGTGTTTACGGTCGGACAGAAAATTTTCCGATGGCGAAATGACGTCATTTGAAAGCTACGCGGTGGCAAAGTAAAGAGACTGGGCATTAGGCCCTGGCACGATGTTAGTGGCAAATGTCAGATGATCCGATCGATCGATCGGATCCATCGGACAAGCGTGTTTACGGTCGGACAGAAATTTTACCGATGGCGAAATAACGTCATTTGAAAGCTACGCGGTGGCAAAGTAAAGAGGCTGGGCATTAGGTTCTGGCACGATGTTAGTAGCAAATGTCAGATGGTCCGATCGATCGATCGGATCCATCGGACAAGCGTGTTTACGGTCGGACAGAAATTTTTTCGATGGCGAAATGACGTCATTTGAAAGCTACGCGGTGGCAAAGTAAAGAGACTGGGCATTAGGCCCTGGCACGATGTTAGTGGCAAATGTCAGATGATCCGATCGATCGATCGGATCCATCGGACAAGCGTGTTTACGGTTGGACAGAAATTTTACCGATGGCGAAATGACGTCATTTGAAAGCTACGCGGTGGCAAAGTAAAGAGACTGGGCAGTAGGCTCTGGCACGATGTTAGTAGCAAATGTCAGATGGTCCGATCGATCGATCGGATCTATCGGACAAGCTTGTTTACGGTCGAACAGAAATTTTTCCGATGGCGAAATGACGTCATTTGAAAGCTACGCGGTGGCAAAGTAAAGAGGCTGGGCAGTAGGCTCTGGCACGATGTTAGTAGGAAATGTCAGATGGTCCGATCGATCGATTGGATCCATCGGACAAGCTTGTTTGTTAAAAACAACTATTTCCTTCTATAAATTTTTAGTCGGGCAGTTACTGCATGAATCGGATGGAAAACACAAAGTGTTAGCGATACTGCTGAAGATGTAGTCTTTGACCCTAGTGATATAGATTTTTCTATAAGGTATATAATTGTTCTATCACCAAACAGCGGCAAAAATGTGAAATCGCTCGGCAGCAGTTTAACCATACGAAGATGTCATGAAAGTGATTTTTGGTAAAGTTTAGGAATTAGGAAATAATATTGTCACGGAGCAACGTGTCCCATAAAAACACCAGTAAATTGTCCGTTTTAATCAGTACAGAAATTACAGAAAGTGGAGTTTTACACAGGACCAACAAGGCAAACAACGTTGTCGATGTTAGCGAATAAAGGAATAAAGAATCGTTGAAAACGAAATACCTGTTTTGAGCACGACAGCCATCCACAAGACAATAGGCTCTTCCCAACCATCTTTCACATGAAGTGATGCGTGCCCCAGCATGAAAGAAACAAGAGACAAGATGCCCAGTAAAACAGTAGTTTTGCGTTGCTTCATGGTTTTGCCCCAGAATTCACAAAGCTGTTGTAATAAAGGAAAAAAAGGATGTTTAAACAATAGTTAGAGGAGAATATCAAACAAACATATAACCACTGTGCTGCGTAGGTATTGTTAGAAAACAACGAATACTTACATCTTGCAGCTTTTTTGGGACCAAATCCCAATCAATATCAACTTCATAGCATTTTTTGAGATTGTTCTCAACAGCTTCATCGCTATGCCAAGCCATAGTTTATAGCGTAATTTGGATAAAAGTTTTATTGTGGTGTTTGTCGACAATTCTCGGTAAGGGAATGGCAAGAAAGGATTTTTAGCATGTTTTATACTGTGTAATTCAAGAACATATGTCAATCAAAATTGGCGTTGCAATTGTTTCAGATCACAAGGCCGGAAATTTAGTTAGCCTGTTAGGTGTGAGGGAAAACGTTTGCCGAGGATGTAACACCACCAGTTATGACGTATATGCCAACTTCAAATGAATCACGGCAAAACGATTATGAGCATTGAAATATTTTAAGTGAGTATAGTAAAATTGACGGATCACATGCACACTGCAAACAATAAATAACAGTATCGTAGGAGTGAAATATACAAATATAAGAGGTTGAATCCACTAACTTTAAACAGGGCCTTTCACACAATGTACCTTGCTCTGACTGCTCTTGCTCATATGTTGACGAAACCGGGAGATCATTTGTAACTCGAAAAAAGGAACATATTCCAAATGTAAGAAACTATAAAAAAGGCTCAAATATAGCTAAACATGCATGGGATATGGATAATATCATAATATAATAATATAACTTGATCATATATATATATAGAGGATATTACACGGCGGCGTGAAGATATGACTTTTGCCTTGGAGTGATGAAAACAATATTTTGCAAACCAGCGCAGCGAGTGAGTAAAATACCGTTTTTAACACAAGAAGATAAAAGTCATATCTTCAAGCTACCGTGTAATGACAGTAAGTTCTGGGGCCGGTTGAATAAAAAAGTAATTAAAGTTAACTATATAGTTAGTGGAAACGTCATCCAATAAGAAGCGCGTATTTGAGAGTTAATCACTATTTAACTACAAAATAGTGATTAAAAAAGTGATTAGGAGTTTTATACAACCGGCCCTTGTTGATTATATAGTGTCATGATCAAGCAAGAAATTGCATAAATAAAAAAGTCACGTGATCGAAACCTTCACTAGTGAAGATATGGAAAATATATTATGTCACTGTGTATTTTTCAGTATCTCATGCTCTCTAGTAAAATGAATATATGGATCGTGTAATTACTTATAATTGATTTTCATAATGGGAAAGTAATTGATAGTGGCAAGTATCGGACACGTAAAACATTACTAGAATCTTAGCATACTGCTATAATAATAAATTATGAAAATAATTGTAAGTCGCTTTCTAAACAATATACACTGCTATGGTGGTTAATAAAAAATGTCATGGCTAGACGCTATAATTATCACACCAGTCACTTATTGTTATAACATCACCTGACACGTGCACGCTTGTAATTAATTCATTCCGCTTTACCCGCCCGAGACTACAGTTAGGTAGTCGCGAAAGGTCGTTTAAATAAAAGTCTTAGTCAGACAACGTTTACTTTTAGTTATGTGTAAACCTAGCTACGCTATCTCCATATTTTCTTATAAAAATTCAGTTTCATGTTATAATTCATGTACTAAGGTTGTTTGGCATGTAAAATGATGATAAGGTTTCTAAAGAACGAAGGAAAATCATGTATTTAAAATCGTTCGTGTTCTGAGCTTGATTGGCATATATTATAATAATTCAGTTTGATGTTATAATTCATGTACTAAGGTTGTTTGGCATGTAATAATATCATGATAAAGTTTCTAAAGAACGACGCAACATCATGTATTTAAAATCATTCGTGTTCTAAGCTTCATTGGAATATATATTATAATAATTCAGTTTGATGTTATAATTCATGTACTAAGGTTGTTTGGCATGTAATATTATGATAAGGTTTCTAAAGAACGACGCAACATCATGTATTTAAAATCATTCGTGTTCTGAGCTTAATTGGCATATATATTATAATAATTCAGTTTGGTGTTATAATTCATGTACTAAGGTTGTTTGGCATGTGAAATCATGATAAGGTTTCTAAAGAACGACGCAACATCATGTATTTAAAATCATTCGTGTTCTGAGCTTCAGTTTGATGTTATAATTCATGTAGGCTACTAAGGTTGTTTGGCATGTAATATCATGATAAGGTTTCTAAAGAACGACGCAACATCATGTATTTAAAATCATTCGTGTTCTGAGCTTGATTGGCATATATTATAATAATTCATTTTGATGTTATAATTCATGCACTAAGGTTGTTTGGCATGTAATATCATGATAAGGTTTCTAAAGAACGACGGAACATCGTGTATTTAAAATCATTCGTGTTCTGAGCTTCATTGGAATATATATTATAATAACTCAGTTTGATGTTATAATTCATGTACTAAGGTTGTTTGGCATGTAATATTATGAAAGGTTTTTAAAGAACGACGCAACATCATGTATTTAAAATCATTCGTGTTCTGAGCTTGATTGGCATATATATTATAATAATTCAGTTTGATGTTATAATTCATGCACTAAGGTTGTTTGGCATGTAAAATCATGATAAGGTTTGTAAAGAACGACGCAACATCATGTATTTAAAATCATTCGTGTTCTGAGCTTCATTGGAATATATATTATAATAACTCAGTTTGATGTTATAATTCGAGTTATAATTCATGTACTAAGGTTGTTTGGCATGTAAAATTATGTTTTTAAAGACGAAGATTATTGTAAAGAACAAGGGAATATAGAACATATACTTGTTTCTTTGGCGTCCCTTTTTGCCATCGGTAAAATAGTTGTCGGACCGCGAAAACGTTTGTCCGATGGATCGGATCGATCGATCGGACCATTCGACATTCACACATCGCACAATGAACTTGCAGTGCCACCCGAGACACTCACGCAGTGATCTGCGCAGCAGGCGTTTATTTGCTTTTGGGCAGCCATCGGTAAAATATTGTCCGACGGTAAACAAGATTGTCTGGTGGATCCATCCGTACCGTCTGTAAGACTGCTTCGTCGATCGGATACCGATCGTCAGTATTGGACATTTATGAGATCCCCACGCTTACGCAACAGACGCGTTTACAGTGGATTGGAGTACCACGAGGGGATATGCATTTCCCCCATTCAATCTGATTCCTCGAACACTAATGAAAGTGAGAGACGACAATGCAACTCTACTTTTAGTAGCACCAATTTGGCAAGCACAACATTGGTGGCCCCTGTTACTACAGCTGGCAATAAGCCTACCAGTTCGTCTTCCATTGTCTCAAACTCTCCTGGAGAATCCGTCCAATCTAGGGGCCACTCATCCAATGTATCCAAGACTCCGGCTAGCCGTCTGGGTCATCTCCAACAACGCTGCTCAGCAGAAGGCTTTCCGGGTACAGTTACCCGACTGTTGTCTTCCGCCACACGACAGTCGACAAACAAAGCTTATGACTCCGCATGGGGAAAGTGGAGTAGCTGGTGTGATACAAGGCAAATTGATCCAATTTCGGCAAATATCAGAGATATTTTAGTCTTCTTAAGCGACCAATTTGACAACAAATTGCAATACCGTACCATAAACGTCCTTCGTTCTGCCATATCATCTGTACATCCATGGATTGATGGCAAGCCGGTTGGACAACACCCTCTGGTTATCCGACTAATGAAGGGCATTGCTAATGAACGACCTTCAAAGCCAAGATATTCATCAACCTGGGATGTGTCCAGGGTAACTTCATATTTATCTTCACTAGGGGATAATGATAAGTTATGCCTAAAATTGCTAACTAAAAAACTTCTGATGTTGCTAGCATTGATTTCACCAGAGAGATCGTCTGTTCTATCGGACCTTGATATCCAGTTCCTGAAGAAACAGCCAGACGGCTTCACATTTACACTAACTAAACCTCGGAAGACAGGGGACCCAAGATCTCTCACAACAATAGCATTCCCATGTTTTAAGGAAGACAGCACGCTATGTCCCTTGAAATGCTTGGAATCATATTTAAATGCTACAAGTGAGTTTCGGACTCTACCTGAATGTAAGAAGTTGTTTCTCTCGACTCTACGTCCGCATCGCCCTGTCTCCAAAAGTACAATTGCCAGATGGTTGTGTGACACAATAACAGCTTCTGGTATCGATTCCACAATATTTAAGGCTCATTCCACAAGAGCAGCCTCAACTTCAACTGCTGCTAAGAAACAGCTACCACTAAATGACATTCTTAAAATGGGTGATTGGACATCCTCTTCGACTTTCCAACGGTTTTATTACAAACCAACGATTGACGACAGTTATGCGAAAACAATTCTAAAATCCTAAATTTTTCCAGATATAGACAATTATTGTTGAGTTTGGGTTTCCTCATGTAATTTTTATGGTCTACTTTTTGTAGTTTATTAAAGTTGCACTTTTGTGCTTTTTTGGTCATTTGGTATAATTTCGTAGCTATTACGTTGAAATCTACCATATGTTTTCCCATATATTTCGACCGGAGTTTGTGAAGTATAATTTAAATTACACAAGGGCCTGTTAGGCCTGTTAGTGTAATTAGGATTATACGAGCAAACGAAGGGAGAAATATATGGGCCCACCCTTTAACCGTCAAGCGGTTTTTTTTTCTCCCGTACCCTGTTTGTTCAGACGTGTTGAAAATAGCCGATTAGGCACCGGGAGATTGGCGTATTTATATGCCGGGTCATGTGACCCATTCTTTTCTTTCTTTTCTCTTCCGGTTCCGGAAGCGTTGAAACGTGAGTTAGAGCACGGTAAGACAAGCTTTACCATATGTTTTCCCATATATTTCTCCCTTCGTTTGCTCGTATAATCCTAATTACACTAACAGGCCCTTGTGTAATTTAAATTACTTGTGGCTATTATGTGTCGGAAAACTTCGACATTAATTTTGAACAATTTTATTCGTTGCACCGTGCTAAGGGCGCAAAATAAAATCAGTAAAGGACGTAGGCCTACAGTATATTCGGCCTGATTTAGCATTAATTTTACTACAACCGGTTAAAAATGAAACAAAGATTGCTCAAACATTGTTTAAAAATTGTTATAAATTCCTATTCCAGTGAATTAACGGATGAATTTTGAAGTGCAGTTTCGGTAAAAAGGGCAACATGTTGCCCCCGTGCTGCCCCGCACTGTTTGGGCAACAGGGGGCGGGCAGTTGCTTCCGCTACCCCCGTGGCTCGGGCGGGCGCTCCTGAGAACATCCATCAAGACGATCACATTGCCAAGATTTTAGTCTCTTCGTGCGAACAAATTCGCCTAGTGGAAAATGGGCTTTAAGTCCGCGTTTATTAGCTGTGACATGATATGATGACTGCCAACATCAATCGGTTCCCCTGAGTCCTCTCCTCACTTTGCATCCAGAAGGGATCTACGCCACTTTCTGTTTATAGTGATGTGATCACTTTGGTTCGTTGTTCGACTATCAGGGGAGTTCCAGGGGAGTTTGTGGATGACCTTGTGTGGAAAGGTAGTGCCTCCGAAGACTCAGTTGTTGTCCACGCAAAAGCCAACTAGTCGATCCCTCACCATGCTGATGATGCTTCTCCATGCCTATTGATTCTTCTACAGCCTTGTTTCTCCATTACTCTTCCTAGTTGGTGTTATCTGCTCCTACGTTGATATTTAGATTACCAATGAAGGTTTGATATCCCCATGTTTCGTGCATGGATATGTTTCTCCTTGATCTTGAGTGCAATCCAATCTCGAACTCTAACCCTACAAGGCACGAAACATGAGAAAATAATCACAAGGTCACAGATTAATTTTAATTAGGATCGCTGCTGTTATCCACCACTGACAACCTGGCTTTATACCTCCACCCTCTCCCGAATTTATATTGTTAGAAAAATGGCTCCCCCCGTTCTTCCCTGATCTCA